AAAAAAAAAAAAAAACAAAACAAAAAAAACAATGCTATAGTGCCACATAACTGTCTTCAACTTCAGTTTTAATCCTTGTGTTTCTCACAGTAAAAATTTAGGTGCAAAAAGAAGTGTGTGTTGTTTCAACCTGTGACGTTTCAGGACTCACAGAGCAAGGCAGCAGCATTTGCTTTTGCTTTCCCTGCCCAGATAACGGGAAGTCTGAAATCAAAAGTAATTAAATGTGATGTTGGCAAACAGTCATAAATTTGTGTCTTCATGGAGAGTAACTAGGCTATGTGGTCTTTCTGGGGCAGCAGTAGCAAGGAAATAATGAGGTGAAAGCACCCAGGAACGAAGGCCCCGTAAACACGGCAAAGACAGTTTGCTTGTTCTAAATGGAGGTTTCTCCCGACTGGAAGGCTGCGACCCAGCTGAGCTGTGGAGAAACAGCTTGCTAACCAGGGCTTTCCTGGGGCACCCTTTCTGGTGCTCTTCAGAGGACCCTGGACTAATAATAGGACTCTCCTGATTTCACCTAAAGCAAGGCTGTAACTTCCGCACAGCCTGGTGCCAGGCTTGGAAGCAAACCCTCAGAAAACAGCTCCCCTCAGTGAGGGAGTGGGAGCCTGTTTGCATTAATGTGGAGAATTCTCCAAGAACTCACAGGCTGGGAGGCATTCTCATGGTGAGTCAGCGCAGCTTCTCTTAGATTTACTGCAATTAAGGTGAGCATGAGAGCAGCCTGCCTCTCTTCTATTCTTTCAGCCATGGAGTCAGGCCCCATTAAAAACATGTTTCTTGGCCGAGCACGGTGGCTCATGCCTGTAATCCCAGCACTTTCGGAGGCTGCGGCAGGCAGATCACTTGAGGTCAGAAGTTTGAGACCAGCCTGGCCAATATGGTGAACCCTCATCTCTACTAAAAATACAAAAAGTAGCTGGGAGTGATGGCACACACCTGTAATCCCAGCTACTTGGGAGGGTGAGGCAAAAGAATTGCTTGAACCTAGGAGGCAGATGCCGCAGTGAGCTGAGATGCACTCTAGCCTGGGTGACAGAGGGAAACCCCGTCCCCCACAAAAAAATAAAGCTTGCTTCTTACTGGTGGAAGGAATAGCAATCAGTGGCCCACAGCGGCTCAGGCGGCAGTGGGAGTGAGAAAACCTCTCTTGACGTGTCTGTGGTAGGCCTAGGTGATGGATCCTGACTAGGATAGCTAGTGTGGAAACAAGCAGTTGAACACCATGTTTCAGCAAAATTCAAAGGCTGGAAGGTTCCCAAAGGCAAGGAGGAGGAGGCTGGTATCACAGGTCCAGGGCAGTGAGTTGAGTGGAAACTATGGGAAAGGTTTGTTTAGGAAGTGTGGGAGACTCTTACCCCATATCCATGAAAGCCTGTTTTTTCCCAGCCTTGTGTTCCTTGCTTCATGACTAGACAAGTGCTTAAGAATGAAACTCAGAGGAGGAGGCAATAATGATAGCTGGGGAGAGAATAAAGCCCTTTTGAGGAGGGGTTCCCCCACTTCTGGGGCGGGGGGGTCATTGGAAAGGCATGGAATCTGGTGGGAATTTGGTGTTTTGACATTAATGCTCTCTGACATTGTTTTTACCCTTTGGCTGTGTACCTAGTGTGTGTCAGTTCCTGGAGCTATGTCAGAGCCCAGAAGGCGGCTTTGGAGGTGGCCCTGGTCAGTATCCACACCTCGCACCCACATATGCAGCAGTCAATGCGCTGTGCATCATTGGCACCGAGGAGGCCTATGACGTCATTAACAGGTACAGGGAAAGCCATCAGCGACAGAAACCCAGAGTTTTCCCCGCCTGCTGACGCGCACTGACTGTTGCCTCTCCTGCCTCTTTCTCAGAGAGAAGCTTCTTCAGTATTTGTACTCCCTGAAGCAACCTGATGGCTCCTTTCTCATGCATGTTGGAGGTGAGGTGGACGTGAGGTGAGTGGGGTTTGGCATAGGCTGCCACATCAGTTGACTCAAGAGCTCATCTGCCGTTAGAGACGCCAAGCCTAAGGAACATCCTGGGGAAGCTGCTGCTTTGTCTTAGAATGACACATAGGATGACATGTCAGTGACACGTCAGAATCATTCAGATGTGATACAGTGTAGGGTCCAGCCCTAAAGGGTTCTGTGAACCCCTCTCTACTGGTGCGGAGATGGGAAACTGGAAATAAGACACAAGACAGAGATCGAGAGAAAAGGAGTTTGGGCCCAGGGTCCACTACCAACCAAAGCACCCAGTCCGGCAGTGGCCCTGAGTGTCCGCACACTCTGACTTTTATTGAATACAAAGCTGGGGGCAGGGTAGGTAGGGCGAGGCATTGGTGGTCAGTGATAGGGTCAAATGCATCACGTGTCATAGGGATGGGGGCCCAGGACTTTCAAGCAGCCAAGATGAAGTAAGAAGCATAATGCGTCAGCACTTTTTCCATACTTGTCAAGAAAGAACAAAGACATTAAGATTTATGTTACTTTTACTGATTATATCTTCTAAGAAAGGAACCAGGTGCAGAAGCGGACCTTGAAAGTGGACATGGAACGTGACCACTGAAGCACAGCATCACATAGAGAGAGTTAAGTCCCCTGATGTCTGCAGGTCTACCTGATAGCTGTCAGGCCCACCACAAGAGCTTGGGGGAGCGGAGTTTTCTCCTAGCTCCTCCGAGAAAGTAGACCTCCCTGACGTCTCCTTCCATAGCGTGCTAAACAGCAGACGCTTTCCCGGCACTGGTGCTGCCGCGTAGCCAAGGCGCCCTCCAGCAGCCCTTACATGGGTGTGACAGAGGGCATAAAGCATCTTGCCTTAGGGTCATTTCTTTCACAATGTCACCTTAGGTTCATACTTCGAGACCTGAGAGGCATTAGGAAAAGATTATGCTGAGTGTGTGTATATATGTCTTAATGATTATCTGTGAATAACTAAGATCACCTGTGAATAACTACTAGGGTTATAGCTCTAGTTATTTTCTTCTTCATTATTTATATGAGAACAGGCTGAGGCTTCTGACTCCTGCCTGGGCACTTATGGCGTCTCCCCCTCCACAATACAGATGTCCTGGGGTGTCATTATCACTTGGCTTATTTTATATAAATGTCAAAACGTAAGACAGAAACAAATGCTTTTGTTTTAGAAATTAAAAATACATATGTTTGGTATAAAATGATATACCACAATATAAGAACTGTATGGTGTAATGTATTCCTTCACCTCTCTGGGATAAGGAGGAGAAAGCCCAGCAGGGCCTCAGTAAATACCTTCTGAGGGAATTTGATGAATCATGAGAATGTCTCACACCTGAGGTCCTCCCGAGGCACGAGAGTTTTTCTGGGAGGTGCAGAGAGCCTTGTGGGTCAAGAGAGTGCAGTGCGGTAAAACCGCATTAACTGATTGCTGCCAGTTGGCTTGAAGTTACTGCTTTCCTCCATAAGTGTCTGATGTTCCAAGCAAGTTGCTTCCTCACCTGGCAGATTACTTATGAGGCATACAAGGAATTCATTGAATAAGCCATTTCTCTAAGACAGTGGCCCATTGAAATTTTATGCCGTTTTCTTATTTAGTTGAGAAGTACATTTTGTGAGGTTTCTATAGCAAAGCCATCTTTCTGCCTATGTGTAATTGGGTTTGCTTCTACACAAGTTAATATTCTGGCTTAAGCATCAGGCTTAACCATTGGTTTGAAAGTATAGGGGAGGAAAAAAAAATGAACGTTGTAGAGCATAAAATATATTACAGATAATAGTGGGTAATCAGCCTGTAAAGGCCTTTAGTTAAAGATATTCTTCTATCTCTCACTTGTCTGATCCAAACAAAAAAATAGATTTGGATCCGTATATACCAGTGAAGCCAGCAGGACTAGTGAGGTAAAGCAGTATGCATTGATTCTTCTTAAGGAAAATGTTAAAAAGAGTTTATTCCCCTTGTAGCCACTACATTTTCATTCCTGTTGTGTAGCTATTTCCCCTAAACATGCACAGTCTTGAAACTTAGCTTTAAAAAACTTACTAAGATTATTAGGCAAAAGCAAACAAATCATATCAGGATCTGGGTATTTTATCAGGCCTTTTTCAGCTATGATTATTTGCTACCTTATTCATTCCAGCACCAATTTTTTTCTATGCTCTTTATTTACATGTGCAAGACAAATGCTAAGAAACTTCTCCAGTAACAGATTGGTTCCCCTGCAGAGCACTGTAGCCATAGTCTTCTCCAACCTTTGCTCTTTGGGTGATGCTCTGCCATTCATGCCCATGCTTTCTATTTATGTAAAGGACTGAAGATATGAAATGATGGAGAAAAGCTAGTAGATTGCATCTGTTTTTCTTGCTTTGCCTGGTTTCTAGTACCCCGATTCCATCATTTTTCACTTGGTGCTTCTTTAATTGTCCTTTGCCTGGAAGCATCAGCCAATCCTCAGGAGTGCTTGTTTGGGTGAATTTGACTTGGAGAGAAGCAGCAGTGACCGGGGAGAGTTTGACATCTGGAAACTAGCTCGCTGCCCTTCTGGTATAGACAGCAGTCTCTGGATGATCTTTCTGCCCTGTTACACTGCTGATAGTTTCAGAGATGAGCCTACTCAAGGGTTTATAACTCCAGTGTACTGCAAAAAATCAAACCACAGTGAACTCATAGCAAGCACCATTTTTTCTCAGTTCTTAAGAAAGGAAGGAGTCATTATTCCTGACCTAATCTAGGTTATATAATCTGAAACATTCTGTGAGGATAATAAGGTAGAGGCAGGGATCTGGCATTTACAAAAGTTTGATGTGAGAGCATGTGTTGTTCAAGAAAGGACAAGTTCAGTGCTGAAGTATAGATGGCCTGTTGGGCAGGAGAGCAGTGGAGATGGAGGGACAGGCTGGGAATAGGCCGTAGAGGCCCTGAAATCTCCTATGGAGTCTGGAGTTTATTCTGAGGAGTTTTAAGGGAGCAGTATAATCTGATCTGTATTTTCTTAGGAGTTCTCCAAGTGCAGTGATGGATTGTAGTGTTCCAATAAAAGCCCTCTGATTTCAGGGCTGGAGGGAGAGAGACCAGGAAGACTCCAGGCTGAATAAGGCTTGAATTTGGGTGATGGCAGCAAGGATGGAAAGTTAGTGGACAAATTTGAGAGCTGCGATGACTGGGTGGAGGGAAAGAGGGGAAATACATGAAAAGGTTGTATCCTGTTTCCTCCCTGGGACTCCTGTCTTCTGTCATCACTTCTTAGTTCTCCCACTTGTGAGATGCAAACTGTATTATAGGTCGCCTCCTACTTCAGAAGTCACAATAGGATTTAAGAGCAAATGCATTTGAGCCTCTTTAAGAGGCCCACGACTACAAGGAAATTAGATCAGGTCTTCAAAGTTAGCTGATGGTAGATGATCACATTTGGCATTGGCATATGTGAGTCTTGTGTGCTCCCAATGCCTGCTGGTGGAACTAAACCTCCACTGTGCCTTTGGCTGATAAAAATGCTGGTAGGATCATAATGCATGCAGCTTCTACAGAGACTTCTTTGGAACACCTCAGTAAGTTTGGCGTCATGGTATGTCTATACTGAGCAAGATGGAAACCAGGGCCAAGTGTGGTGGCTCATGTCTGTAATCTCAACACTATGAGAGGCTGAGATCAGAGAATCACTTGAGGCCAGGAGTTCAAGACCAACCTGGGCAGCATAGCAAGACCCTGTCTCTACAAAATTAAAAGAAATATTAGCCAGGTGTGGTAGCCTGCACCTGTAGCCCCAGCTGCTTGGGAGGCTGAGGCAAGATCAGTTGAGCCCAGTAGTTCGAGTTTGCAATGAGCCATGATAGCACCACTGTACTCTAGCCTGGGCAGCAAAGTGAGATCCTATCTTTAAAAAAAAAAAAAAAAAATGGTGGGCATGGTGGCTTAGGCCTGTAATTCTAGCACTTTGGGAGGCCAGGTGGGCAGATCATGAGGTCAGGAGTTTGTGACCAGCCTGGCCAATATGGTGAAACCCTGTCTCTACTAAAAATACAAAAATTAGCTGAGCGTCGTGGCACATACCTGTAGTCCCAACTACTTGGGAGGCTGAGGCAGAAGAATTGCTTGAACCCATGAGGCCCAGCTAATTTTTGTATTTTTAGTAGAGGCAAGGTTTCACCATGTTGGCCAGTCTGGTCTCAAACTCTTGACCTCAAATGATCCACCTGTCTCAGCCTCCCAAAGTGCTCGGATTACAGGTGTGCACCTGGCCAGGAGAAGGATTTTTGAGCAGAAATTAAACCAGTGATTTTTGTCTTCCCCATGCTGGATATTTGAAAAAACCATAGAGGGGGAGGGAAGGCAGTCTGTATGTGTATTCCATGACAGAGGGAGAAGCTGAAATAAAATGTGCTCCAAGAAGAATTAGGGCTGGGAGGATGGAATGGCAAGAATGATTCCAAATCAAGTATAATAATAATTATTTTTTTAATAGGCTGGGTGTGGTGGTTCATGCCTATAATCCCAGCACTTTGGGAGGCCGAGGTGGGTGGATTGCTTGAGGCCAGGAGTTCGCCACCAGCCTGGCCAGCATGGCAAAACCCGATCTCCACTAAAAATGCAAAAATCAGCCGGGCATGGTGGCGTGGGCCTGTAATCCCAGCTACAGGGAGGTTGAGGCAGGAGAATCATTTGGAGGTGGGAGAATCGCTTGAGCCCAGGAGGCGGAGGTTGGAGTGAGCTGAGATCCTGCCACTGCACTCCAGCCTGGGCGACAAAGCGAGACCCTGTCTCAAAAACAAAAACAAAACACAAAACAAATAGACGTGTACCTTTTTCATTTAACTTGTGCGTCTGAGTGTGTACTGGGGAGGAGTTTGAAATCAAGGCTCTTTTCTCCCTGTAGAGGTTTAAGGAGTATATTGGAGTGGACTCACCTATTCCTATCCTTGTTTGGTCTATTACAGTTTGGTGGCCTGTTTTGCAGTTTATCTGTTACAGAAAAAGTACAGTGAATCTTTAATGTGTCCAGGCTGCAAACAGAAATCCTGGATCTGAAACAGTACTAACATCTGAATGAATGAGCATATCAAGAGTACCTGAATACCACTGATTTATGGCAACCATTATAGATCTTTGAAAGAAGAGCTGAATCCACTTTTGACATGAATTGATCTGGCTGTTATTTCCTCTGATATAGATTGGCCCATGTGGAGGTAGGGAGAATAGAATGTCATGTTCTTTCACTGAAGCCATGCCGTGAGCAACTCTATCTAAATAGAATGTCACACTTCTCAGTTGGAGACCCAGGAGGACTGACTGTGTGCCAGAAGTGAGGACAGGAGGTGATTACAGCTTACTAGGCAAGGCGAGCAGTTTGCCCTCGGAGTTCACCGAGCCTCGTTAGCTCTTCCGTAGAGCTTAATGTGATTCCCATTTCTGTCTTTCCAGAAGCGCATACTGTGCCGCCTCCGTAGCCTCTCTGACCAACATCATCACTCCAGACCTCTTTGAGGGCACTGCGGAATGGATAGCAAGGTGAGAGAAGCCAGGATTTCTCCTGGCCTCTTAGAGAACAGGCAGTCACAACTCTACTTCAGAAAAATAAAGAAAATGAAAAGGGACTTGGAAGGGAATACAAAAATCACAGGAGATACGTTAGGTTTATCTAATGATTTTTAAAAACTTAAAATGTCTTCCTTTTTCCAAACTTTCTTTAATACTATATTTTAGATTGGCAAAAAAAAAAAAAAAAAAACAAAAAAACACCTTGGTAAACAGTATTGGTGGGAGTGAATTGATTTAACCAGTTTTTAGAGCAATTTGACAATATATCAA